GAGCCACATTTTTAAAACTGAAAATACATCTCCCATATAGTAATTCATCCCCCATATAGTAATTCATCCCCCATAGTGTAATTCATCCCCCATAGTAATTCATCCCCCATATAGTAATTCATCCCCCATAGTGTAATTCATCCCCCATAGTAATTCATCCCCCATATAGTAATTCATCCCCCATCGTAATTCATCCCCCATATAGTAATTCATCCCCCATATAGTAATTCATCCCCCATAGTAATTCATCCCCATATAGTAATTCATCCCCCGTATAGTAATTCATCCCCCGTATAGTATTTCATCCCCCGTATAGTATTTCATCCCCCATATAGTAATTCATCCCTCATATAGTATTTCATCCCTCATATAGTAATTCATCCCTCATATAGTATTTCATCCCCCCATATAGTATTTCATCCCCCCCATATAGTATTTCATCCCTCATATAGTATTTCATCCCCCCATATAGTAATTCATCCCTCATATAGTAATTCATCCCCCATAGTAATTCATCCCCCATATAGTAATTCATCCCCCATAGTAATTCATCCCCCATATAGTAATTCATCCCCCATATAGTAATTCATCCCCCATAGTAATTCATCCCCCATAGTAATTCATCCCCCATATAGTAATTCATCCCCCATAGTAATTCATCCCCCATATAGTAATTCATCCCTCATATAGTATTTCATCCCTCATATAGTATTTCATCCCTCATATAGTAATTCATCCCCCATATAGTAATTCATCCCCCATAGTAATTCATCCCCCATATAGTAATTCATCCCCCCATAGTAATTCATCCCCCATATAGTATTTCATCCCTCATATAGTAATTCATCCCTCATATAGTAATTCATCCCCCCATATAGTATTTCATCCCCCATATAGTAATTCATCCCTCATATAGTAATTCATCCCCCCATATAGTATTTCATCCCTCATATAGTAATTCATCCCTCATATAGTAATTCATCCCCCCATATAGTATTTCATCCCTCATATAGTAATTCATCCCTCATATAGTAATTCATCCCCCCATATAGTATTTCATCCCTCATATAGTAATTCATCCCCCATATAGTAATTCATCCCTCATATGGTATTTCATCCCTCATATAGTATTTCATCCCCCATATAGTATTTCATCCCTCATATAGTATTTCATCCCTCATATAGTAATTCATCCCTCATATAGTATTTCATCCCTCATATAGTAATTCATCCCTCATATAGTAATTCATCCCCCCATATAGTATTTCATCCCTCATATAGTAATTCATCCCCCATATAGTAATTCATCCCTCATATGGTATTTCATCCCTCATATAGTAATTCATCCCCCATATAGTATTTCATCCCTCATATAGTAATTCATCCCTCATATAGTAATTCATCCCTCATATGGTATTTCATCCCCCATATAGTATTTCATCCCTCATATAGTATTTCATCCCTCATATAGTATTTCATCCCTCATATGGTATTTCATCCCTCATATAGTAATTCATCCCCCCATATAGTAATTCATATCCCCCCATATAGTAATTCATCCCTCATATAGTAATTCATCCCCCATATAGTAATTCATCCCCCATATAGTAATTCATCCCCCATATAGTAATTCATCCCCCCCATATAGTAATTCATCCCTCATATAGTAATTCATCCCCCATATAGTAATTCATCCCCTCATATAGTAATTCATCCCCCCATATAGTAATTCATCCCTCATATGGTAATTCATCCCTCATATGGTATTTCATCCCTCATATAGTATTTCATCCCTCATATAGTATTTCATCCCCCCACAGTACTATTCCCCCCCCCCTCTAGTAAGCCAAGTCCCCCGTGTCAATTCACTTACCTTTGTTCCGCGCGTTCCTCTCGCTGTCTTCCCGCGCCGTTCGGGTCTTCAGGGCGGACTGTGAGAGGAGCCTAGCTCCCCTCCCCTCACGTTCGGCACGCTGCCCCGCCTACACACATCCTGACAGCCACATCCGCGGGCCGGATTAAAAGGTCCGCGCGGACTTTTGGGGCGGCCAACCGAGAGGAGGCAGGGGAGCGGCCGACCGAGAGGAGGGAGGGGAGCGGCCGACCGAGAGGAGGGAGGGGAGCGGGCGCCCGGCACACAGAAGAGCCGCATTAGAGTGGGTAAAGAGCCGCATGTGGCTCGCGAGCCGCGGCTTGCCGACCACTGAGCTATATGATGTCTGTTAATGGTGAGTCATAACTGATGGTGATGATGAATCCACCAGGTTTGCTTTTCAGCATAGCTTACACACAATAGGTGATTTAAAATGCATGGATTGCATTTATTTTAAGATTGGTGAGCCTCTTCATAATGTAAAGCATCCACTCTGGATTCATCTTGCATTGCTACTGCAGCAGCCTATTACCAGGGGTGATGCCTATGAATAGCTTAATGCATGAAAGGGGTCCCTGATTTTTCTTTTAAAAAAATGTATATATATATATATATATATATATATACAGTGCAAATATTTTATGCAGATGTGAAAAAATGTTGAGAAATCCAAATCAAATAAATAATTGGTGTGGCCACCCTTTGCTTTCAAAACAGCATCAGTTCTTCTAGGTACACTTGCACTTGGTTTTTGAAGGAACTCAGAAGGTAGGGTGTTCCAGACATCTTGGAGAACAAACCACAGATCTTCTGTGACTGTACACTGCCTCATATCCTTCTGTCTCTTCATATAATCCCAGATTGATTCGATAATGTTGAGATCAGGATCCTGTGGGGGCCAAACCATTACTTTCAGGACTCCTTATTCCAAGAAGTTGTTGGACCAATCACACTCCTCCCTGATGGCATGGAATGATGGATAAGTATCTGCCTATATTTCTTAATATTGAGGTTACAATTAATCCTGACCAAATCTCCAACACTATTTGCAGAAATGCAGTCCAATACTTGCAAAGAAACCTCTGCCATGCTTCACTTTTTCTTGCAGACACTCATTATTTTACCATTCTCCAGTCCCTCGTGAAAAAAATGCCTCCTGCTACAGCCAAATCTTTCAGATTTTGACTGACCATTCCAGAGCACCTGCTGCATCCAAGTTCCTTTGCTTTTATGCATAGTTGAGTCACTTAGCCTTGTTTCCATATTGAAGACATGGATTTTTGGCTGCAATCCTTCCATGAAGTCCACTTCTGGCCAGACTTCTCCAGACAGTAGATGACTGTACCTGGGTAACACTGGTTTCTGCCAGCTCTGTGCTGAGGGCACTGCTGGAATCTTCTGATGTTGAAAGGAAGTAAGTATGATTTGTCTTTTTTCTGCTGCATTAAGTTTGGTTGACTACTGCATATACTGTCCTCAAAGTTGCCCGATCAATGGTGTCCTCAATGCTGAGAAATAGAAGCAGATACTTATCCATCATGCCATACAATCAGGGAGGTGTCTGGTTGGCCAGAAATTTATTCTGCAGCAGGACAAACAAAAACATTGCATCGGGGACTTGGCACTCACTCCCAAACGTGAAACTCCCCACCCCTGGTATGAGGGAAACTTCCCACATTGGACATTCACTGATGGTACCAAAGAGTATCCCCTGTGTGTACACAGCACCTGCACCTCCCCACAAGGGACCCAGTCCACCTCCCTCAACACCACAACCACCCCTCAACAATCCTCCCAACTAACTAACCAACCAAAAACCGGTGGTTCTGAAGAAGGCCCAGAAATAGGCAGGACAAAAAGCATCAGTGTGGTCACATGCCCCCTCCATCCATTCCCCGCACACCACCTCCACACCGCATGGACTCTACCAGCATGGATATGGCATCCCGTCCATGATGCACAGCCAGCAGTCACCATTGGACTATTAGAGGAGCCTCCACAGGATATGGCCACAACATTGGGACTATTAGCTGCGGTTTGATGTACAGGACCTTGGTGGTCCCATCACACAGTGAGTACTGGCGATCTGGTGCGGCTATCTAGGTCGTATCAGCTGTGCAGGTTTGCACAGGCTGGACTGGTTACACACAACGAGGTTGCTGTGGCAGATACTTGTATCACATCTCTGAATTATTCCCACTGGCTGTATTACCACCTATGTCCTCATGTTTACATGCTGATTGCATTTCATCCTGGAGGCTTATTTCTGCTGAGTGTTGCAGTCCATTCATGCCTGGTCATCAACCTGTCCTTATTACCACAGGCTATTTGTGGAACATCTGACATAGTGCACATTCATGGACTAGTGGATATACTCTGTTGGACACCATCATAGATACACTTTCTTCCTTTGGATTGGCCATACCAGAATGGCAGTGATTACCAGGTCCTCGATGCAATGTTTATCTTACTTTGTATGTTTTATGAATAAATATGCTTTTGAGGTTAGCCTTTTAGGTGTGTAGCCTATTTTCTTTTTCTTTGGTTTTTTATCATATGCCTTAGGTAGCACCCTTCCAGACTGCTCTGGAGGCACCTAATTTTCTACTTGAATCCTAGTGGACTCCCAGGCTTTCCTCTGCTCCCCCCCTCTTTTTTCTCCCCCCTTTTTTTTACACAGGACAAACATAGCCGATGTCATTAAGAACTAAGGAGTCCTGAAAGTGATGGTTTGGCTCTCACATGGCCCTGATCTCAACATCATTGAGTCTGTCTGGGATTACACAAAGAGCCAGAAGAGTTTGAGGCAGCTTACATCCACAAAAGATCTGTGGTTAATTCTGCAAAATGTTTGGAACAACTTACTTGCCGAGTTCCATAAAAATCTGTGCGCAAGTGTACCTAAAAGAGTTGATGCTGTTTTGAAGGCAAAGGGTAATCACACCAAATATTTATTTGATTTTGACATCTCTTCTGTTTACATTTACGTTTTTTTTTTGTTAATTGATAAAAATAAGTTAATAACACTTCTATTTCTGAAATCTTTCTTAACTTACAGCATTTTTGCATATCTGCCTAAAACGTTTCCACAGTACTGTATACACAATATTGTCAAAAGTATTGACACCCCTCCAAATCATTGGATTCAGGTGTTCCAATCACCCCATGGCCACACATGTATAAAATCAAGCACAAAGGCATACAGACTGCATATACAAACATTTGTGAAAGAATGGGTTGCTCTCAGGAGCTCAGCGAATTGAAGCGTGGTAGGTTGCTTCCTTTGTAATAAGTCCATCCGTGAAATTTCCTTGCTACTAAATATTCCACGGTCAGCTGTTAGTAGTATTATAACAAAGTGGAAGGAACTGGGAACAGCAGCAAGTTATCCACAAAGTGGTATGCCATGTAAAATGACAGAGTGGGGTCAGTGTATGCTGAAGCGCACAGTGCGCAGAAGTCGCCAACTGTCTGCAGAGTCAATAGCTGAAGACCTCCAAACTTTGTGTGGCCTTCAGATTAACACAACAACAGTGCATAGAAATCTTCATGGAATGGGTTTCCAGCTGTATCCAAGCCTCACTTCACCAAGTGTAATGTAAAGAATCGAATGCAGTGGTGTAAAGCACGCCGCCACTAGATTGTAGAGCAGTGGAGACGTATTCTCTGGAGTGACAAATCACGCTTCTCTATCTGGCAATCCGATGGACGTGTCTGGGTTTGGCAGCTGCCAGGAAAACGGTACTTTCCTGACTGCCTTATGCCAATTGTACAGTTTGGTGGAGGGGGGATTATGGTGTCGGTTGTTTTTCAGGGGTTGGGCTTGGCCCCTTAGTTTCAGTGAAGGGAACCCTTAAGACGTCAGCATACCAAAACATTTTGAAAAATTTCATGCTCCCAACTTTGTGGCAACAGTTCGGGGATGGTCCTTCCTGTTCCAACATGACTGCGCACCAGTGCACAAAGCTAGGTCCATAAAGACATGGATGAGCGAGTTTGGGGTGTCCTGGCCTCAACCCAATAGAACACCTTTGGGATGAATTAGACAGACCTTCTCGTACAACATCAGTGCCTGACCTCACAAATGCGCTTCTGGAAGAATGGTCAAACATTCCCATAGACACACTCCTAAACCTTGTGGACAGCCTTCCAAAAAAGAGCTGAAGCTGTTATGGCTGCAAAGGGTGGGCCAACTCAATATTGAACTCTATGGACTAAGACTGGGATGCCATTAAAGTTCATTAAAGTGTGTGTAAAGGCAGACTTCCCAATACTTTTGGCAATTTAGTAATTTAGTGTATTTCAAGGGTCTCAAATGACTCAATTACTGTCTATGGGACAGGTGATTGTAGCCGTATTAGTGCACTTGCGACAGAAACAATTGAGTACTGTCTGTGATACTTTTTTTATTTGCACTAACAATCAATTTTAAGGACAAGCTTTCGGGGAGTGTCCCCTTCTTCAGGTCGAAGCAGTACTGATCACAAAGAGTTAGAAGAGATGTTTTGGAGTTAGAAGGAAAAAAAAAAATGGTATGTCTGTGCAAATTCATCCTTGTTTGTAACCTCTGTCCTGTTTCACCACAACATAGGATCCTTTGTTACATTTTCTGCACTGGATAAGGTACAGAACATTACTGGAGGTGCAGCTGTATGATCCGGAGATATTAAAGATCCCTTTTGAGTGTCTGACACTTTTCGATGGATTGATTTGGTTGCACAGTTTGCAGCGTATTTTATTGCAGAGTTTGCTTCCATTATTTGTGACACCATCATCAGAAGGAAGTTTCCTACTGATTAGTTTATTTCTGAGGTTTGGGGGGGGTTGTCTGAAGGCCAGTATTGGTGGTTGCTGGAATATTAGGACAGAAGTTACAAACAAGGATGGATTTGCACAGACATACCATCAAGGAACATAAAGAAGATGACTTTTGCACACCTGTGGGACACCATTTCGCACAACCAGACCACACAAAGGGAGACCTCAATATTTTAGTTCTTAAAGGAAATTTCAAATCCATCCAGGAAAGAAAAACTTTTGAACTAAGAATGATAATTCTATTTGACACAAGAGATAACGGCCTTAATTTGGACTTGGGATTCCTCAACCATTATCCAACAGTTTTATTACCTCAAGCATCACTGCCTCTGTGAGTGTAGTCTCCCCCCTCCCCAGACTTTGCTTTTGCTGTGTCTTATCTTATCTGTTCTCCTTCCAACTCCAAAACATCTCTTCTAACCCTTTGTGATCAGTACTGCTTTGACCTGAAGAAGGGGACACTCCCCGTAAGCTTGTCCTTAAAATTGTTTGTTAGTGCAAATAAAAAAAGTATCAAGGACAGTACTCAATTGTTTCTGTCTATGGGACACAAATGCAGAGTACCATGTTATTTCTAATCATCTCTGGCTTATTGAGAAACAAAAATAAAAATTGAACTAAAATTTCCAACATTTTTTTAAACTAGTGCCAGTCTCTTTAGTTCTTCCAGAATGTGTTCTTTATACAGGAAGATTGCTACACTATCCATCCAGGAATGTTGGTAACTTGTATGTCTCATCATTTGAAACTCACTTTATGGCCCGTTGTATTTCCAATACTTAACTGTATATGAATAACAATGCTATACTAGTTATTTTGTACCTTATTCTGTTTATTGATGGTTCAACTGGTATAACATTGGTTCATGACACTTTAACATTGTTAAATTCAATAAACATATTGAACTGAAAGTCAGTTTATGGTTCTCAGTCAAAGCATTGCTATGAGTTTCAGATTATCAGAATGCAAGGTGAAGGTGTAAACGGTTTATGTTTGCTTACCTCATTGTATATACTAGGACAGTATGGAAACCAAGAATAGAATATTAACTTAAATTGTACAAATAACCAAAACCTTTCATCTTAGCTTTGGCTAGTGTAAGGAAGGAAAACAATTCCTGTGGTTTTCACTGCTGTCTGTGGTCACTGCTAGGTAGATTAATCCTCTCTAATTCCTATGGTGACCATTATCTCTGGAACAAAAAGTGAAGGGAAATCCGAAATGTTAATGTTCTCACCAGAAACAGAGGCGAATGGAAATCTGTTAATAAGAACATCTCCCCCCCTCTCTACAATTTATTTTGGTTTGTGGGGTTCAACTGCACTATGCTGTTGAGGTGACTTATTGGATCCCACAAAGTTGTTTTTTTCTAGTGAATTTCTCTTTTGAGCGGGACATATGTGGGGCCCGATCTCAGCTTGATGGTCATTCCTACCCCTCCCCCCAATTCCTTTCTGATGTCTTTCTCTCCATTTTATCCCCTCCATAAACCAATAAAACCCAATTTATTCACATATGATGTAACTGAAGTCATCAATTTTTCTAGGGTTACTTTGTCTTCTGTTCTTCTAATGAAAATGGACACCTCATTTTAAAAGCTAAATAACGTTTAACTAAAGTTGGGTACTAAACATATTAGAAGTTGCCTTCTTTTGCTCAGTAAGGTGGTGGATATTTTCTCCCAGTTTGTTGTCATATCCATAACGTTTCAATAGTAAAACAAGTAGGAGGGTGCAAACGCCTAATGCATTACCATCACTATTTTTTATAAAATGTAAAAATCAAACTCAAGTATAAATAGGAACAGGTATATCAAATCGCAAGTCTAGTTGAGAGGCGATGTCATCTAACTATGCATACCAAAGATAGTAGGCTGATGCATTTCGGGAGACATGCCACTTCCTCAAAACTAACTCTGAGGAAGCCCTGATAAAGGGGGCATATCCTTGAAACATGTCAACCTACCAACAGTTGCATGCATTGTTAGATGATATTGCTTCAGTGCTGGGGTTTTGATTTGATATGCCTGTTCCTATTTATTTTTGCGTGTATGTTTTTGACCTTTACATTTTATAATAAATTGTGGTGGTAATGCATTAGGCATTTGCTCCCTCCATTTCCCAATCTGAGGAGGGTTGCATTAGCCGAAACATTACAAGTTGTGACATCTCTGAATGTAGTAAAGCTTGAACGCTGGAATGTTTGACTTCTTTTATATCTTTGTAATACCTATACCACCTTCTTTTTGTTTTCCTTGTAATCAGAATGTAATCTGTATTAGTGGCAAGATGTCTGAAAAAAAAAATAAGGACACCTGTTTTAGTGACAACCGTCAAAGAGAGGAATTTTTTATATTTAGCAGAGCTTTCCTCTCACTTCCTGCTGAGTCTCTTGGAAAGGAAATGAAGGGAAATGTACCCAATGGTACATTGGGAAAATAATGGGGGTTTAACCATTCCCTACTCTATCCAAAACTAAAAAACAATATGGCTGTACATACAATTAGGAAACACCTCTATTATAATAAATATTGCATAGGGAAATGCCAAAATAAATATTTAGGCATTTATTTAGAGTAAATAGCTTAGAGTACATTTGAATACCTGAAAAGAAACACCTTAAATATCAAAATTACAAATCACCATACACAAATATGCAGTATGGCAAACAATATCAGATCACGCTCGCATTCTAATGAATTAAAACAGATTGTGGGCATGCAATAACCTCAATCTCTACAGACTTCAGTCTGGAATTTTGACCAGAAGAACAAGCAGAAGTGGCGCCAAAGAAGTGGAATTTTCAAAGAAGGCTTTAATGAACAGTTTCTCACGCTTAGTGTAGCAACTGGGAATAAGTTTGTCAATCACCACACCGAGGAAACAGATTTTGGAAACTATATACTGCTCTGGACAGCCTTGGTGGGTTGATGTAGTTTTGGGGACTGTCTTTTTTTTGTTATTTTAAAAGGGTGCAATTTAAACTGACTTTGACAAGAGCTGTCGTTAATAATGCTCATTGCTTGGGCAGTGCAAAGCCAATTAGCACTGATTTCTGCTCTTTCCACGGCAGCTGTGCATTGTTCTCCATGGCCAATTAATTGCTTACAATAGACAACCAATCAGCTTCTAATTGACGGTACACCACAGCAAGATTTTATTAGCTGCCACCAACACACGTCATGAAATGGAAGATGATGGAGTCATGAATAATATTCAGTCTTAATATACAATGTCAATAGTTGGGAAAAATTCCAGAAATAATTTCTGTATCATTTTTCAGAACAACAAGCTACATTGAAGTCGCTCTGAGAGCTGTGAATGAACACATTATTATGCATACCAGTACAGTTGGTATATGAGTCATTTAAAACTCATATACCAAGACCGCTACACTGGAACTAAGGTATAAGAGTGTCAAAAAAGGAACTGTAAGTGTTGTCTAGAGCAACCAATGGGCTCTCAGGACAGGATGTGTGTTACTTGCTGGATCTCAAGGAGATCCCTCCCTTTCAGAATTGGTATCCAAAGGAACTAGTGAAACAAAAAGTTTTTACTCCAGAGCAGGAACAGGT